GCCTTTAGCTACAGTAGTATGGGGAACCTCAAACAAAACATCGACGGATACAATAAAACAACCTTATCACTGAAAACCGAGCAGCCTAAGACCAGAAGTTGCAACTGCAGAATACCTAATGATTGCCCCATATCTGGCCGTTGCCTAAATAAAAGTGTTGTCTACCAAGCCACAGTCGCAGCTAACAACAAAACAGACCAGACTTATGTAGTACTCACAGAAAACGCGTTTAAAACCCGGTACAACAACCACACTGCTTCATTCAGAAACCCAACAAAGAAATGCAACACAGAGTTAAGCAAATATATATGGGAATTAAAAGACAATAACACAGACTACACTATTAAATGGAAAATTCTCAAGCAAGCCAAGGCATTCAACCCATCATCTAAAAGATGCAACTTGTGCTTATGGAAAAAGTACTTTATAATATGCAAGTCCTCCATGGCTACCTTAAACAGGAGAAACCAGCTTATCACAACTTGTAAACATGCTAACAAATATCTCTTAAAAACTTTGTATTATAGGCCTATCACCCAACCAAACACTAGTGCAATTTACGACCATTATAAAGTTTATCATTCATTGTCATTTAATCCTTTGTTAATTACTTAATGATTACAGTGTACCGCTGCCTTTCAACTAGCGAATTTACTCTGCACATGCTCAGTCTTACAATTATTCAATCTGTGATAATCTTAGTCATTAGACTATTTTATCTGAAGAGTGCTGCACCATGTATGTGTAGCACGAAAATAAATAGTAATAAATAAAAAACTCTTTGAAATCATTTGTGATTTACATTTTAATTTTTAACTTTATTTCCTTTTCCTGCCTTTTACCTACCCACAAAACTTGTAATAATTTTTTAAAGCAGTTTTTACTCATTTTTTTTATTTGCACATTTAACGAATTCTTGAAAATATGTACAGGTAGCATTCATGTTTCTTTGGCTATTTTGAATGTATTAATTTTACACGTTGTTTTACCTTCTTGAACTTATTGAAAAATGATATCTTTGTAATTTTAACTGTTATATGATCGAACATATCCTTTGTAAATTTTATTTTGTGTGTTACGGTATATATTGTATACTTATATCATGCTGTTACTAAAGTTTTGCAATTTTGAGAATAAATTATTTGAAATGAATTGAAATTAGCATCGTACCAGACAGTCTTTAACTCCAAATTCAAAGGTAGATTAAGATTTACTGTAATTTATTTTCTTCTGTAGATTTTAATGTATTGTGGAGCGGCCCCTCAGAAGAGCAGTGTTTTTTTTTCACTGACATAGCTACCAAAGAGTATAGAGCAGGTTTGGATACCTTACTGACAGAAAATAGAAATATACAAACATGTCGGAGATGGTGCCAGTTTGTATCAACCCAAACGATAAATATATGGACTGTTTTTGTTTTGTTTTTATCACTTTAAACTATCATATTTAATATTGTACTTGTACTTCCATAAGTAACCATTACCGTATTTAGGTCCCCAAACCTATACTCCGAAATAATAATGACCGATAGGATTAAGTAAAAGTACGCTATATACCGGTGCAGTAGACAGTAATCAATATTGCTGTCCCGAAGAATCAGGATGGCCCAGCGGCATTATTTTTTTCCCCATACAGTTCAGGCAGAAATTATAGAGGGCACTATTTAAGGTCATTTAGGTGAACCGATGACATGAATAATGAATGCATGCTTGACACATCTTCAGAATGAGTACTACTAAGTAATAGTACTACAAAGCAAACGTCATAGTGTATAAGCCTAGAACTGTAGGCATAGGCCTACTCAAATACGATGCCAGGTTCAATTAACCTGCTCCGTTTTTTTTATACTTTCTAAGACATGTTGTAGGCCTACATAGATTGTGTCTAATCTATTACTACTAATTTTACACTGTCTTGACTACTGAGGCTTATTTAAGATATTTTGGCTTAGCGACTCCATAAGGCTCATCCACGCATAAAACTCGATACACCACTGACTATGTTTCGCGAGGGGGAGTTTGTTTGTTTGTTTGTTTGTTTGTTTAAATTATTTCTCCACACACATGACCATATGAACATACATAACAAAAGCTTAATAGTAAAACCAAGAATAATAGTACATTACAGAATAAGTGTGCGGAAGGAGGCCAAAATAAGTTTAGAATAAAACTTGAAGTCGTGGCCACCAGTTAAAAATATATAGAAATATAAACAAAAATATAAAAACAATATATATATATATATATATATATATTTATATATATACATATATACATATACATATATATACACATATATATACACACACATATACATAAAGAATAATAAATCAATCAGAATCAAGTTATCAATACAATTAGTTGATTGGACCACAAAATATAAGTTCAGTGACAAGTTAATGGGCGAATTAATTACTGTACAATTAAACCATGATAAGATGTCGGCAAAATGATTATGTAATCGATAGTTTATTGGCGGTGCCATTGAACCAGCATAATGTTAAGACTTATTTAACTACAGTGAACAATAACAGGAAATAAAACATAGTAAGATTAATAAGGTCCTATATAATTAAAACAATTGTGGAATAGAAAATAAATAGCAGAAATATAAGGTATATGTATGAGTTTAAAATATATAACGCATAATGTCATGATGACAAATAAAATACAGTTTAGAAATCAATGAATATAAAAAAATGTACATAAGTAAAAATAATATATAGCATATATATTAGATACTGTATTCATAGCGAAATATTGCGTATGAAGGCATAATCACATGTAGAGCCTAAGTCCTTATTTAGACCCTTAATGTGAGTTTTTTAACCGGATTATCCATTTCATTTCTGCGTTTCGTCGTTCTTGTGTTGATTTAAAATTGCAACCTATTATTATAGCCCTAAAGTCATTAGGTGAATTAACATGTACACTTACTGAGCAGTTTAGCTTGTGTCTTGTGATTTGTGGTTGTTCATTCTAGATTTAAAAGTTAGACCAGTTTCGCCAACACAGTTTCCCTCGTTGCATTTGTTGCAGTATGAGGTATATAATATTGGGCGAGTTACAATTCAGTACTAGTGGCCGGATTGTTGTCAGTAATGATGATGTTGCATAATTGACATCTAGAGCTGTTACATTGTGTGTTGCCATGTATCGGTTTAGTGGAGGGGAGTTTAGATGAGGTTAAAGTGGACTTTAAATTAGGGGGTTGCCTACGCGCTATTAGAGAGGGCTGTAAAAATAATTCTCTAATCGATGGGTCTCATCAGACCCACCAGTACTGACAATGACTTTAGGGCTATAATAATAGGTTGCAATTTTAAATCAACACAAGAACGACGTAACGCAGAAATGAAATGGATAATCCGGTTAAAAACTCACATTAAGGGTCTAAATAAGGACTTAGGCCCTACATGTGATTATGCCTTCATACGCAATATTTCTCTATGAATACAGTATCTAATATATATGCTATATATTATTTTTACTTATGTACATTTTTTTATATTCATTGATTTCTAAACTGTATTTTATTTGTCATCATGACATCATGCGTTATAATATTTAAACTCATACATATACCTTATATTCCTGCTATTTATTTTCTATTCCACAATTGTTTTAATTATATAGGACCTTATTAATCTTACTAGGTTTTATTTCCTGTTATTGTTCACTGTAGTTAAATAAGTCTTAACATTATGCTGGTTCAATGGCACCGCCAATAAACTATCGCTTACATAATCATTTTGCCGACATCTTATCATGGTTTAATTGTACAGTAATTAATTCGCACATTAACTTGTCACTGAACTTATATTTTGTGGTCTAATCAACTAATTGTATTGATAACTTGATTCTGATTGGTTTATTATTCTTTATGAATATGTAAGATCTCTCAAGTTTTCTCACTTTAACGTTGATGAAGATAGCAGGAGCTATCGAAATATCCGTTTGATTTTGTTATAGCTTAATAAATTTGTGTTCCGCAAGTCAACTTTCAATGATTGTACACCGTTTTTTCATAGAGACAGGCTCAATGCAGTATATAGCAGAGCAGTATAGACAAATAAACATGTCAGACAGGGGAGTCTATATGCATATGCATTTATATCAGTTCTCCTAACACCCTCTATAACTTCTGCCTCAACTGTATGGGAAAGAAAATAATGCGGCCCGCCGGGGCAGTGCTTTAGTGAAAAATAATAAATTGTATAATATACAATTTCATAAATGGGTTCGCGCCCCGGAATGATGTTAGGTGGGAATGGCATTAATATGGATATCTATCTATATATGCGTGAAGGGCCCCGACGGTACTCTCAAATTAGGGTTCCTCAGAAACTTACGCCTCTGTATAAATGTAATACGCAAGTACAATAACGTCAAATTATTTCTAAATACTCATCGATTCAGAGAACTAAGCCGCAAGTACAATTTAATTGATATACTTTTATTTCATATTTAATGAGGGGACTATTCCATCTTAAAGGTAACCCATTGAACTGATATCAACAGGGTCTCTTGAGCGTACTCACAGTTATATCGTAGTCATCCTTGTCGCAGGTTAAAAGTTTACGCTGGTATCCAATTATCGTTAAACCATTTATCTCATTTCCGTACAGCAATTTATAATCACCTTGAATATCGTTCTCTGGCTCTACATTTCCAATGCCATGTCGGTCCTGGAAATCAAGATTTGAAAATAAAAAATGAATGATAAATACAACGAATGCATGTGTATAAGGTATTATTAACTTGTTGATAATTAAAAGAAAAAACAAATATAAAACTGTATGCTTTAATTCCCTACAGTTTTTTAGCTTTCTATTATGCAAAATCATGACTTGATTCTAGGTTAGTCAAATGTAAATCAGAATCAGAATGGAGAACCATACTCCATTTTTTAAATGTCAAGTTGAATGTCGGTAATATTTAGTGTCTCTATATATAAACACAATACTATTGGATTTGTGTTAAATGAAGTCACCTAATGTGTTCAGGGTGTATGATTGATCCAGACTTATTAAATTTGGATTGCCATCTGTCATGTTGTTAATTCTTTTACATACAAAGTAACTTCTATTTAAAACTATCGATGATTAAATAGCTGTAATGAACAGTAACTGTGAGAGAGATGTTAATTCTTTCCCTGTTGCAGACTCTTTAGCTACAATATTTAAGTGTTCATCTAGTCAAATTATAAAAAGATTAGTTGATAGAAGTTCCTACTAACCTGGTCTGGATTGGACAGATGGTATTATGATTTGTTTAAGCTATTAACATACCAATAATACGATATGGAAAAACGTTTAGTACGAAAGGAAATTTAAGCTTTATTGCAGAGATTACTAATTTATGTCTCCAAAGCAGTTATGAGGGATTAAATAGGATGAATAAGATATACCCATACATAAAAAATTCTATAGAACTTTATAGACCCTCTATAGAGACTAATAAATTTCTACAGAAATTAGTATTTTCTATAAAATTGCTTTATAGAAGAACTAGTTTCTATAGAATTCTATAACATACTATATACACATATTTAATGTAATTTCCATGTTTTTAATTTTTTTGTTTCATTCAATATTTTATTGACACATTCGTGTCTGACCAGTATCATCCTACAAACATGTTTTACATCTTGCATATTCTATAGAAATTCTATAGAATATTCTATACAAATGATATGACAAGTTCTTTATAATAAAACTATAAAATTTCTATATTTATTCTATAAAAAATTATAGTCCTTACCTGTATTTTTTTAAATGTATTATAACAATTTTATAGGGATTATCTCTATAAGAACATATAAAATCTATATAGAGAATAACATATATGAAATTTCAATATAAATTTATTTATTTATAGTATATTCTGTAGAAAGAAAAGTGGTAAGAGTTGGTTTTGTTTTATTATTTAGTTAGTTTACTACTCTAGCAGACACGCTAGCCTCCTCCTAGACCTAGTAGTAGTGGTAGATGAAGGCTTGAATGAAGAGGCCTGGCCTAGCCTAAGGCCTACAGTAGCTGTGCCGGTAATAGCCTAGCCGCCGTACGGAGACAGACAGAACTGAGGTTCTCTGTTCTTTCTAGGCCATTGAGGATATAGAGCTAGGCCTAGAACCTGGACCCTTTGTTGGCCTAGCTAAGCTGTAAGTTAATTGCCCCATAGTCTAGCATGCCATAAGAAGAGTGGTAAATTGCATTTGGGCCGTGTCCTCTCTAATGTCCATGATGCTTTAATAAAATAATGGGTTTAGGGTTAACCGGGGTGCGGGTGGTGTAAAGAATTGTATCATTAATATTTGCAGAAAGTTAATGTAATCTCTAGTCCTATACTAACATAAATAGTGATTTTATTTCAGGATACTCAAGTCTCAGTTACTACTGTAAGTGTAATTACCGTACTAACGCGAAAAAGCGCCCGGGCGCTTAAAATATTTTTTTGCACTTCTTGAGGGGCGCTTATTCAAACGGGGCGCTTATTCGAACGAGGCGCTTATAAAAACAGAGTGAAAATTAAGGGGGCGCTTATGGAAATAGATGAAAATCGAGGGGTTCTCATGAGAACTTATTAAATCCAAGAGGTACATTTTGAATGAAAAACGATTAAATAAGGACATTAGGAAACCGCAAATTACGAATGGTGCTGCGGCGGAAAAGATAATCGTCCAGAGAGCATGGCTTCTCATGACAAGAATGTTGTGAGTACAGTATTACATAACAGCAGAATAGCAGATGAAATTAGTGGTGGTGGTTAGCTTTTTCGCCATCGGTCGATTGAGAATAGCAGAACGGCATGATCATTACAAGTTTTCTTGAAAACTTAGATGAGAATGTGTTCAGAGGTGCAAATTGACGGAAAAGGAGTAGTAGGACTAGAATATACACAAATGAAAGAAGTTGGAATTTGGAAATATACTGTCTGTCCAGGGAGCTTTTATCATTCTGTCGAAGATAAATATCCTCAATTTGATATTGACTGAAGGAGAATGTGATTCCACTCCACACCTCAAATCATGCCAACATCCACAGTCCCAGGATTGATTGGGTTATTCAAATTAGAAGGGGCGCTTATTCAAACTGGGCGCTTAAGGAAATTTTCTCGTTATGAGGTGTGCTTATTCGATAGGGGCGCTTATTCAAACGGGACGCTAATTCGCACGAGTACGGTAAGTGAAAACACAATCCGGTCTACTCAATTTTGTAGTAGGAAAGCATTAATGTTTGTTTAAAGACGTATCTGTGAAGGAACAGAAAATTACCTGACATTCTATATGCTTTAATAAAATAATCGGTTTACGGTTAACCGAGTGGGTTTGGGGTGTAAAGAATTGTTGTAATCTAAAGGCCTATACTAACAACATAAATGGTGATTTTATTCCAGGATACTCAAGTCCTGTCTCTTATACACATCTACTCTATCGTGTAAACTACAGCATCATCTATAGCAGTATGTCTAATTAGGTATATCTATCAGGTGGTTTACCCCTGTTTGTCCTCACTGGGTAGCGACTTTTTGATCCACCCGTTTGATTATCAGTTTCTACCACATCTTGTCCCTCCCCACTGGCTTCCGATTGCTCATCACGTTCACCGTCAGATTGTTCGTTAATATTCATCTCCCCACAGCATCCTGGTTCTACGTCATGACTAACCTCATCATATAGAACAGATTCATTCCCCTTTGGTGTTGGCTGGAATGCGTACCAGGTTGTGGAGTCAGGGTCCAAATTCTCGCTTGAATCATTCACTGTCTGAAAGCCACGGGCAATGCTTCAATTCAAATCGGTGTAGCACTTTCTCCTTTCCCAGTTTGTTGCGTACCACATATACTGGGCTGTCCTCAAATGGTTGCTTTATCACTAAATATGGCTCACTCTCCCAATTGTCCTGAATCTTTGATCGTCCTTTGAATTCTCGCGTACGGACCAGTACATGCTGTCCCACGCTGAGGGGTTTCTCAAATACCTTCTGAGACCGTCCACGAGTATTGGCTATCTGTGCTAATTGTTTACTCGCTATCATGCCGGCCATTTTAAGCTGGGACTGGTGTTGAGTGACATACGTTGCTATAGTTCCATCATTAGTGGATCTGGCTTCCCCGCCTAAGACCAAACCATGTGGTGGACGAGCGTTTCTTCCAAACATTAGGAAGAATGGTTCAATTCCGGTGTTGGAGTGTGACGTGTTGTTGTATGAAAACACCAGGCTAGGAAGGTATTCAGGTCACTTCAGCTCGGCCTCCTCCGAAAGTGTAGACAAGAGGTTGTGAAGGGTCCTGTTGAACCTCTCGCATTTCCCGTTTCCTGAGGGGTAGTATGGTGATGCCGTAGAGGTTACACAGATTTCGTACAACTTGTGCCTCAAAGTTTCTGCCTTGGTCCGAGTGTAAGCCCATTGGACATCCATAAGGAGTAAAGGCATACTTCAATAAGGTCTTAGTGATCGTTATTGCACGCTGATCTCTAGTCGGAATTGCACGTCAGTCAGAACCAAGATGTTTTCGAAACCGTCTTTTGATGGTTCTACTACAGTGTAGTCCATAGCTATAGTCTCCATTGGAGCCGATGCACTAATCGTCCCATACACCGGTAGTGTTTTCCGCACCGGTGGTTTACTCAAGCTACAGCGGCGACACTTTGAACACCACTTTTTGATCATTTAGGACATACCAATCCAATAGAAGACCTTCCAAATTGAATTGAAGGTTCGTTTTGCTCCAAAGTGTCCTGCTCATCATAGTATTTAGTAAGCACTTCTCCCACCAGGGAAAAAGGAAGGACCTTCTGTGGATATACCACGTTATACGGGGCTGTCACTCTCCGACACAAAATCCAGAATCCATTGTGAGTCGTTTCTAGTCGCGCAGTAGCTTCAGGGTATTCTGGGTACAGGAAACCCGCTCTGTACAATTAGGCTGCCTCCCTCTAGCGACAAATCGTGCAACCTCTTGCAGATGCATATTTCCTGCTGTAGCTGCTTGAATTCTTCTAACGTGTACGCTGGGAAGCAAATGGTTCCTCTCTGTTCACATACTTCAACACGTTCATGTATTGCGGGTGGGAGGAGAGTCCCTAAACTGTACACCCCAAGGCAAGCTCCCACAGTACTGCTCGACACAACTACGGTGCAATCTCTAATTAGTTCGTCTGCTTGATCGGGTCTATTCTCTTCTGAAAGTTGATTTGTCCGCGAAAGAGCATCAGGTGCCTGGTTCCTTGCACCTGCTCGGTATGTGATCTGATAGTCGAATGAGCTAAGTTGTTGAACCCATCTCATTTCAGTACAGCCTAAGTTTGCCTTGTCCAAAAAGAGTAGGGGATGGTAGTCAGTCACAATAGTACATTTGTGTCCAAACAAATAATCTTTGAAAACCTCAGTCACTGCCAATTTAAAGGCCAGCAGTTCAAGTTTGAGGGCACTGTAACGTCCACTCTGTTCTGCTGGTCTCAATGTACATGATGCATATGCTACTATGTGGTGTCTTCCCTTATCGTCCTCTTGAAACAGTATTGAACCTAATCCTGTACTACTGGCATCAGTCTCAATACGGAACGGTCGGGTGAAATCAGCGTATGCTAAAACCGGTGCTGTCGTGAGACACTCTATAAGAGTCTTGAACGCTGTCCGAGATTCAGTGCAGAAGGTAATCGGGCCATCTTTCGGTCGTTTTTTCTTTCTCTTATTATCTGGGCTATGTTTCAAATGACGGAAGAGTGGCGCTGCGATCGATGCATATCCTTTAATGAACCTCCGAAAAAATCCGGTAAACCCTAGGAAGGCCCTAACATCTCTCACCGTCTTAGGCTCTGG